TGTTTATGAACAACAAAGGAAGTCAAATTCTACTTTTTTACTACTATTTAACATCTACTAAAACGCTACAATACTCATACTTTATCATTTTCAAACATTTTAACAGTTGCTCAGTCTACCAGACTAAAAAGTCAAAGTTTTTGTCTGTCAGATGTCTGAATACTTAACATGTATATTGCATTTGGTCACAGTTTCTGGTTGTAGCAATAGCATCGGCAAATCGGCAATTGGCGGCAAAACCAGCCAATTTTCATTGCAGTGTTTTAGCAAAAATGCAAAAAACAGAAAAAAGAATAACTTTCAAGATTACTTTTTTAAGCAAATATAACTGATGTTGTTCTATATACTTTTGTCATCCAAGTATAGAAATGGCCAATTTCCACACTAGTAACAAAAGGCACTCTTAGTGTTTAATGTTTCCGCTTCTATTCTATCGAGGTAGCAAACTAGTTTAAACTCGAAATCTCTTTCTAAAAAACAAAAACAACTGTTGGATACAACCCTCTCATAGCTCAACTGTAGATAAAACTCGACAAAAAATGTAAATAACTCACGAATGCTCTCATAGCACAACTTTAGATAAAACTCTGCATTATCCGGTGAACTCTGTTCACTCCGAAAACAAACTAAAACACAAAAAACTCCCTTTTTCTGTATGTAATTTAAACCGTGATCACTGAAATATTCAGTGTTGGGCACGTTACTTTGAAAAAGTAATTAGTTATAGTTACTAGTTACTTCTCCCAAAAAGTAACTGAGTTACTAACGGAGTTACTCCACTATAAAAGTAACTAGTTACCAGTAAAAGTAACTATTGCGTTACTTTTTCGTTTTGTTCTGGAACATAATGTGCACCCGACGTGCGCATTTTTACCTTTAACAGTGCCAATATTTCCATCTAGAAAAGGCTGTTTTGCTGCTGAAGTCCTGTTCACTCTTCATCTCTGTCTGTGCTGTAAAGCCCGCCACTGTGAATGTGGAAACACCGGTGACGAGCGGTGAGGCTGGTGAAGCACTGACTTCAGTCCAATCAGATGAACATATACATCATATAAATCAAGTGGACAATTTGTTTGGCTACAGAAAAATATGTTTTATGCCCGCATTGTTTGTTCATACAAAACGCAAAACTATGAGTTATGGGTCTTACCCTATACCTTATAAATGACCTGCACAGTCCACTTCGGTTCAGACCAGTTCCTTGTTTAAATCCAGTGAATGGTTTGAGCGTAGATATGTAATCCTCCATTTGGAAATGAGTCCAATGAGTTTTAAAAAGTAAAACAAAACGCGTGTGTCCTCCGTAAACTCCTCTGTTTTGCTGCAGCCGGCTGCATCCAATTTCTAAAATCAACCGTCTTACACTTCACCTCTCTTTCTTATCATTCCTATAGTAATTGAAAAATTACCCTATGTGCATTTTAGATTATGTAAAAATGTGTTATATGTATGTTAGCCAAACCTGTTGCTGTCCTTAGCATATAAACCAGGAAGAGCAAGGAGCTTATCGATGGAATTGTATGCAGCCGACTTCTGCGCTCACATGCGCTCCTCTGAGGCTGGCCTCACGGTGATACAAGCCGTGGTTGAGCGCGATTAAGACCCATATTTGTTTCAAAAACACAATTTATGAGCCATCCTCTCAACTGTAGACATGTAGATTGTAAAGGAAATATGATTTACATCAGCCAATAATTGCTGAGAGGTTTTCTCATCCTCCCTTCTCTCATGACAACACGTTCATTGTGCGTCTTGAGTAACGCGCAGTAACGGGATGTCGGAAATGATAACGGCGTTATAGTTACTGTCAAAGTAATTAGTTAGATTACTCGTTACTGAAAAAAGTAACGGCGTTAGTAACGCCGTTAGTAACGCCGTTACTAGTAACGCCGTTATTCCCATCACTGGAAATATTGTTGCTTCTTTACTTGTGTCATTTATCAAGCTTGGAATTGGTTAATTACAAAACTTTAAGTGACAAAAGGCCTCCTTTACACGTTTCCCTTTTTATTGCTTTTAATTTTACACCATGGTTTCACTTAGGCCTTTACACTTATGGATCCTACACACTTTATGGCCTTTTCACTTATGGATCCTATACACTTTATGGCCTTTTCACTTATGGATCCTATACACTTTATGGCCTTTTCACTTATGGATCCTATACACTTTATGGCCTTTTCACTTATGGATCCTTCACTCACTTTATGGCCTTTTCACTTATGGATCCTATACACTTTATGGCCAACACTTTATGGATCCTCACTTATTTGAACACAATTTAGAGAGTTCGACAGACCTCAAAAACAAACCAACATTTAGCTAGTATCCAATTATGCAGACTTTACATATAAAAAGGTGTCTGCTTACCTTATTCTTGTCAAACCGGTTCCAAGGACTGTCCAAGAGGTCTGCCAACTCTTTTCCGCGTCGGAATATTCAATTTAAAAAACAAAAGTGACAGAAGCGACAAGAAGCATCCAGGAACAGCTCTTCCAGCCTGCTGGAATCTCCGTTCCCAGACACAGCATGCCGATCTCTCACGCCGAGGAAAAGAAACAAAGAAAACTCCCTCAAAACAATCCAGAGAATGGCACAAACTGAGCCGCGCATTCTCCACCAAATCTGTCAGGGATGAAGCAGACAGAGCCAAACTCTGGAAGTTTATTTAAGTTTCTCTCAAGTTCCAATGGTTTACTTTGTTTCTTTCTCTCAGACAGAATAAAGGCAGTACAGTTTATATAGTCATTGTCACGTCACACATCGAAAGACATACGTGTCACAAAGAGACAGTCAAATCATAGTCATAACATGGAGTCCTTGTAGAGTCCTTGTACAGTCCTGCACGTAGGCCATATTTCTATCTAATATTAACACTACTTTAAACATCCATCGGTGAAATCATGTTGAGACTAGGGTTTAATCCCGAGACACGGGATTCCCGGGAAATCTGATCAAAACTATTTCCCGATTCCCGGGAAATGTTATGACGGGAACCGGGAAATTAAAGTTTAAAAAAAAATCCAGTGCGCTCCAATTATAGAGCACGTTTATTGTTGTTCAAAGTTGAAACATATTTCATTTACAATCGACATGTCTACAGCTGAGAGGATGGCTCATAAATTGTGTTTTTGACAACAAATATGGGTCTTAATCGCGCTAAACCACGACTTGTAATGAGGCCAGCCTCAGGGTACGGGGCACATGAGAGCCCAGAATTTGGCTACGTCCAATTCTATCAGAAAGCTCCTTTCTTTTTTTTCCATCTGCTAAGGGCAGCAACAGGTTTGGCTAACATACATATAACACATTTTAAGATCATATAAAATGCATTTAGGGTAATGTTCTGCTTCCAGTGACGATAGGAATGATAAGGAAGAGAGGAGAAGGGTAAGAAGGTTGATATTAGAAATTGGATGCGCCCGAGAGCCGGCTGCAGCGAACACACGGAGGAGTTTATGGAGGTGGCACCCGTTTTGTTTTACGCTTTAAAACTCTTTGGGCTTATTTCCAAATGGGGGATTACATATCTGCGCTCAAACTATTATCTGGACTTAAACATGAAACTGGTCTGAACTGAAGTGGTCTGTGCTGTTCATTAATAACTAAGGTAAGACCCATAACACAATTGGAAATGTGCCTTTTACGAACTTTTGCGTTTTGTTTGAGCAAACAATGCGGGCCATGGAAAACATTCTGCTGTAGCCAAACTAATTATGAATAAGCCGCTTTGTAGGTTCTGTTGATTTTTATGATATATATTCATCTGATTGGGCTGAAGTCAGTGCCTCCAAACCACACCGCACGTCACTGGTCGACAAGTGGATTGTGCAGACATTTAGAATCTCATAATAGTGAAATTCCTGAAGAAAGCCCATCAACAAAACGTCTGAAAACGCTATGGCTACTTTAGAAAAGCTAGCAAGTCGCTTGGTGAAACACTAGTGGAGACGGCAGCTTTTGTTGGATTATATATTTGAGTGATATCATACATTACTTGGGCTAAAAACAACAACTACAAACAACAGCTATTTCCCGGGAATTCCCGGGAACGGCGTCGTCTTTTCCCGGGATTTGATATGGCTCATTTTCGGGAAAAATATTAAACCCTAGTTGAGACTGATGTGGAATGGACGCTAAGCTAACTCCAGCTAAGCCACAGAATAATCTGGAAAGTTGCATTTTTGAAGAAGAGGCTTTTGTGAAATGGTTCATTGCTAGTTTGTATTTGATTGTCTCCACACCATATATGGTCATGAGACATTTTGCAAATGTATTCCAATGTAGTTTTTATACTGCATATGGCTAATAAAATGAATCATGAATCTGAATCTGAGAAATAAAGACAGTAAAATAAAAATTGCAGTTGTTATTGAAAGTGTCTCGACAGGTCTCAGACTGAACCTACTCTGACTCAGTGATTTTGTGTGTGTCCCACAAGTCTGTAACTGAATCCAGATTAAAGCATTTTCACAATAGATTCTATTGTCCTGGTCCCTCTGCAGAAAAACAGCCCCAAAGCCTGATGTTTCCACCCCCATGCTTCACAGTAGGTCTGTGGTGCTTTCTCCTGCAAACACAGAGAGGGGAGTTTTTACCTAAAGGTTCTGTTGTGGTTTCATCTTTCACAGAACATTCTCCCGATGCTCGTCTGGATCCTGCCCCTGCTCTGTAGCTGCAGACAGCCTGGACCTGTCTGGATCTAGTGTTCTTTGGACTGGATCAAAAAAACACCAGACTTACTTGGGTGGAAAGATAATGTTGTGGGGCTGTTTTTCTGCGGAGGGACCAGGACGACCAGGACAAAGCTTTGAAGATGAAACATTTTTCAACTCGACACTGATCCAAACGCACAGGTCCTGGAGCCTCATTCCAGAGAACATCTGTGTTTCCCATCACTGCTCTAGAAGAGATCTGCAGGAGGAATAGGCCAAAATACCTGCAACAGTGCTCCTCTGAGACAAGAACAGTGTTGTGTGTCACGTTGTGTTTTGTTGCAGTTGTGCAGTCATCAGCACCATCGCTCCTGGTTTCACTCAGGGCTACGACTGCAGAGGGATGGACAGTCGCTACGTTACCATAGTGATCCCAGGACGGACTGAGTAGCTGGTTCTGGCCGAGGTGGAGGTCTACGGCTCTGTTCTGGACTAGTGTGTGTGTGTGTGAGAGACCAGAGAGTTTACATACACCGTTTGACATAGACTGTGTGACTTCTGTTTGTAAGGGTTGTGTTGCACTTTGAAACTGTAATGTGTTTTATAAATAAATTGGAGTTGAATGTTGGATTTGGATATGTGAATAAATGCACATATTTAGGAGTATATGTGATATTGTGAAGAATAAACTGAACAGAGTACTGTCAAACTTTTCTAATATTTAATCGTGATATTATTATTGGTCATCGTTAACTCGGCCTTTGATTTGGTTTGAAAAGTTTGGAAGCAAAAATCTTATATTAATCTAATCCCCTCCAATAAGAAAGTACCGCTGCTCTAGAAGAGATCTGCAGGAGGAACGGGCCAGAATACCAGCAACAGTGAAAACCTTGATTACTCACAGAACACATATGTCACTACCAACAAAGGAATCAAAACACAAAGATGGACTTTTATTTGTGACAAAATAATTATTTAAAAAAATTGGCAAATAAATTCTTCGATCTTTAATAAAACGTGTAACTGACTGTAGCATCGGTACAATAGAAAACACAAACTCCAATAGAGCGAAGAATCACACTGGGATTTATAAGAAAAAAGTCTATGGAGGAGTTTTTTCTTTTATTATTTAATTCAAAAGGTAACGAGAGAGGTGGGGGCTGTACAGGGGTGAGAAATGACAAGAGACTTAAATACTGTCCACAGTGTAGCACAGGTACAGATGTAGTGGAACAGGTACAGATGAGGATTTATTATATCATATATAATCTCTGTTCACTCCTCTGCCTCCAGTTTCTACACATGATGAGGCCGTATCTGCTTCTGTTACATGTGTTTCATTATATTCTGGGACATAACGATGAGACCAATATTTACAAAACATTTGAGTTCTCGTCTTGAACAATGATGGACGTAAACTTTCTGTTTTATGTCGTTAAAACCTTCTTGATACATAATCCAGAGTGCAGTCCTTTCCCAGCACTTTCTACTGTTTGTGAGGGAAACCAAAGTCTTCTGAAAGACAGTAACATTTGTGTGTGTGTGTGTGTTACACACACATAAATAAAACTTCAGCCTCACCATTAAGGAACATGTTGTTTGTGTCGGAATAGTTCAGATCTATATATAAAATAATGAACAGTTTGAAATCAGGCTACAATCATATTTACAGTATAATTTTAACACTTAACAAATGACAAAACTTGGAAAAAAAGGTTTTTTACAATGCTCTCAATTTTTTACATTTAGTGATGTGCTGAGCGTGCCGAGTCTTCAAAGCGCGTACCGAGTAATCAAGAGGAGCGTGGGTTGAGGCGTGTGTTGGTGATGTATGTGGTGACGTTCGAAGCTTCTCACAGCGGCCGCACCCATGGATCTATAATAATAACTGGATAGAGTATTACTAGCTTAGAGCTGTCCCACCCATGACCACAGGGGGCGCTGTGGTACTGCAGACTAAATTCACAAGGGCTACCCAGAAAAAAAGTCCCATCGAACTCAATGTAAATTAAAACAGCACGACCTCAGCTGACAGAGAACCTGCAGCTTTCAGAAAGGTCGGATTTTGTGGGGATTTTAGTGTCCCTTGTCATCCTGAACTTTTTTCTTCTTAAATCCTTCGGTTTTCTTTAAATCCATACTTTACTGCCACAAACTCTGCTCCTTTCCTTCCCGCTTGAACTCCCGTAAAACTTTTAGTAAAACTTCAGTTTCATATTTCCAGGTTTGCCTTAAGATCACAATATTTCACTTTTGTTTAAGTTAATAATACGTTGGGAAACCAGTTGCGTAAAGTTGCGTGGCGCAGTCGGTTGTTGCTGGACTCTGAAGTTGAAGATATGTGGTTCGCATCCTGCTTGACTCCAAATAAGTTTTGTATTTGCAAAGTAAATATATTTAAATATTGGGAATAAATGGTTTGTTGTGTTTAATTAATCCACCTCATGGTAGTTTTTCCTCAATTAAACACTTTTTGTAAAACTGTATTGCTTTGGATGCCATGTGTTTGTTGTATCAACACAATTGACTGAAAGACTCAAATAGTTCATAGTTCATGAAGCATCATTTCAAACACAACCATGTTTAGACCATAGACTGTAAAAATCAATATTAATATTAGACCCCACCATTCATTGTAAGCACTTAAGCATGTTATGTATTTTTTTGTCCACATGATGGCGTAGTGGTGCATGATTCACCTCGAGCCTTCAAACCATGGGCCGAGTAAAAGGCTGCAAACCCTCATCATGGGGCTTCATATCACTAACATTTTCATTGTGCTTTTTGAGATGAAAAAAACTGTGCCGTCAAACAGTGAAACACTAAAGCTTTCTCAGCGTGTGTCTTGGTGTGAACAGTGAGGTGACTCCTCTGAGAAAAGGCTTTGTCACAGACTGAGCAGCTGAAGGGTCTCTCCCCTGTGTGAGTCCGCATGTGTACAGTGAGTTTGTACTTTTGAGAGAATGTTTTGTTACATGTGGAGCAGGTGTGAGGCTTGTCCCCTGTGTGAGTCATCATGTGTTCAGTGAGAGCACCCTTCTTTGAAAAAGCCTTACTACAGACTGAGCAGCTGAAAGGCCTGTCCCCTGTGTGCGTCCTCATGTGCACAGTTAGTTGATTGCCTTTGGAAAAAGCTTTATCACAGACAGAACAAATGTGAGGTTTGTCCCCTGTGTGAGTCCTCACGTGTTCAGTTAGTTGTGTACGTTGGGAAAATGATTTACTACAGACTGAGCAGCTGTAAGGCTTGTCCCCAGTGTGAGTCCTCATGTGTACAGTCAGTTTATTCCTTTGAGAAAAGGCTCTGTCACAGACTGAACAGCTGAAGGGTTTTTCACCTGTGTGTGTCCTCATGTGTTCCGCGTAATATCTCTTTGTTGACAATACTTTGTCGCAGACAGAGCAGCTGAAGGGTTTGTCTCCTGTGCGAGGCCCATCTGTGGCTCTGCTCTGGACTCTGTGGTGGTCGTCTCCATCATCATCTGTCTCTGAGGACACAGGCTGAAGATGAAGGTCTTCATCCAGGTCGTGGTCAGAGGAGTGCTCTGTGTCTCCCTCAGACTCTGGGCTGATGTCTTCTCCCTGTGTCTCCTCTCTGTGCTCACTTTGTCTTTGAGGCAGGGACCACTCTTCTGTCTTCACACACACAAGACTGGAACAAACACAAACTGGTCACTGATGTGAACCTGATGACAATCATCAGTAAATATGTAGAATGATGACAGAGACTCACAGCGGCTCCTCCTCGTGTTTGATCCTCACTTCCTCTGGCTCCTCTTTAGTCTGTGGACTTTGTGGAATTTCCTGGAGCAGACTGTGTTCTTCTGCCTTCACTCCCACAGTTCTGCATCCACACAACAGATCTGGGCTCAGCTCAATGTTTTAAACATGCTGCAGTTTCAGCACAGACACAGACTCACATTTGCAGCAGATCTTCCTCCAGTTTGATGCCATGTTCCTCTGGCTCCTCGCTGATCTGTGGACTCTCTGGGTTTTCCTGCTTCAGACCAGGATAAAGCTTTGTGCTGCTGCAAAAGAGACATCACCAGATTAAATACACAATTACAAAACTAAGGAACTAAACAGTGAGACATAGACACAACATGTGTAATAACGTATTGTTAATAAAGATGACTGAGGACTCCTGTTAAACTAGTTTAAATGTTAATGTTAGATTAAATGTCTACTTTTCCAGAGACTAATTGGGATCTTAAGGTAAATGCGTAAAAAGGCAGTGTCTTTTCTCTGTGACTTTTACTCTCGTCTTTAATAACTTTAATTTAGCGCACATCAGGAGCAGTTTTTACTGTGGTGAAGTCAACGCTCTAGTCACAAAATACAACTTAGAGGGACCCAGACGCACAGGGAGTGAGCTAATGTTGCTAATGCTAACAACAGCTAATGTTGCCAATGCTAACATCAGACTCTGACTCTGGTCTTTAACGTTACCCCGCTCCGCAGTCCAGCTCAGACGCCGGGAGCCGAGCCGCCATGGCTGCTGCACGGTCCGTAAGATGTGTTTGTTACAGATTGTTTATATTGTTTAAATAAAGTAAATAAAACAGACTTTAGCTTCTGTTACTGCGGCTGTGGATTTCTGGAGCTTTGCTGCCGCCTCTGGTCATGATGGTTATTGCACCGTTCAACAGAATCTTTTTAATATTTTTTACAGTCTATGGACTTAAAGCAGGAGACAAACATAAAAGCATAGACTGTAAATATTCATAGAACCCTCCAGAACAACCCTCCACGTGTTACGGGAAGAGACAAAAGGCTGTGTTAACAACAACATGTAGCTAGTATTTGGTATATAATAGAGAAAAACATTGTCTCTGCTGTTTTCACTTGTTCTGTGACTTATCATACTAAGTGCAATTATAGCTCCAGAGTTTATTATCTTATTATTGTCTTATCTATAATATTAAATAATATCTTAAATAATCCTGTTGGATGTGTGCATAACCCGAGTTTCTCAGTTCTGCTGTAATGTGAAACGATGACGTTGAAGTTTCCACTACTTATCTCAGCAACATATTATGGCAGTTACAACTTGTCCTGGTCCTTGTTCAATAGTTTTTTTTTCCACTAGTGAAGAGCAGTTGCGAGTTACCATAGCAGCAAACCTACTGTTAGCAGTTAGCATTAGCCTTTGGCCCGCGGGCCTCAGTTTGGACTTAATATATACAGTCTATGGTTTGGACACACTCCTTAACAACTCATTGACTGCCAGCATATTTCAGAACAGGTACTTTCATAGTGCCAGCAGTTTCTTATGGTTTTTTACTGATTTTTAAAGACCCACTGAATATTGTGTACTATGACTATCTGAAATCTGAAATGGACTGTCTACTTTCATCAGCAAAAACAATTTTGTTTCCAGCTTGTTTCGTTCCCCTGTGCTCAGTCGAGCAAAGGGAATTTTACTGAAATCACCAAAAAGATGAGAAAAAAGAGGCACAACATGTGCATCTATCTGTTTTACACCATTCAGAGAGCAATGCTGCCCCCTGCTGGATAGATAAAATATGGTCTCAATCCAATCCCCATACATATTAGATATATTTTATATGTCTATTATATGTAATATTACATATTAGATACAATAGACATCTCGGAACATGAAAATAGCGGAAAAGGCAATTGACTTATTAATGTGTCAATGGCACACATTGAGCCCGATGTAATCAGAGTCTTCTGCCACACGATGGCGCAGTCACATTAGAATCATGACCCAGAAGACCCGGAAGTGCCAAACACAGTTGTCCAGCTGTTTTCGTGGATGTTATTAGGCCCAGTCCCAATACCCACACTGCACCCTACACACTTCTACGAAGTGTGCATTTGTTCGAAGTGCACACCAGGGTTGGAATGCGCAGGTTACAAGTGTGCAAAAAAGGCGGATTTGGGACAGTGCACAGTGAGTGCAGGTTACGTCATCGACTCGTCAAGAGATGGTCATTTTCAGACCTAAACTTTATAAAAATTAAAGGTAACTTTGTCTGACCCTTTGGGAAACAAAATGAATTGCTTCACACACGTTAAAATACATGTATATTAGTTGTTTTTAATTAGAGATAGCTGTATAATTTTAAGTTAAATGTGGGTAACTAACTATCTGGTCAGTTTTTATACATTCTAAGATTATTGTACTAAGTCTAAAGTTTAAATTGAATGTTATATAAACGCTTGCTTTAAAAAGTTATTAAATTGTTAAAACACAATGTCCGTAATTCTTCATCAAACGTTTATGCTTCTTTCCAAGTAACATAGCAAAACTTATTCACACACATACTGCATATATATTTCAAAATTTATATTTAAATGCATTTTCCCGACGTTTTGGTGTGTACCGCAAAGAATTATGGGCAATATCCTTCGCCAGAGTGTGCATAGATGCAGGCTACGGCGAAGTGTGGATCAGGGGCGCAAAGGGGGCGGGGCCAAATACCTCCCTGGAGAATTGGGACACCCTACGCACTCGCACCCTTTATCGGGAACGCGCAAATGAGGGGCGCGAGGGTGGAAGTGCGAGTATTGGGACGGGGCCTTAGTACCGATTAGACTTATATGATGATGTCACAGTAACAAACATCTGCAGGACACTAAGCAGCCATGGATGCCCTGCTCCCGGCCTCTGTGACGGACTGCGACACGGGGTAGGTCCGCCTTAAAAAACCAAAGTCAGATCTGTGTTGTTGTTAGCATTAGCAACATTAGCTCCTCACACATTTGCATGTTCTCTCAGTGTCTGGGCATATTTTCACTGCCACTAAAACAGTCGTTCAGGATGAGCGTGTGTTTGTGAGTGCAAATGTGGGACTAGTGTACCCTTGTTTGAAACGATTAACCGAGCTCCTCAATGCAACCATAGTAATACAACAGATTCAGGAGTCAGTACTTTTCCACTCTGATCCCAAAGAATCGTTAGAATTGTGGGTAAAGCTAAAAGCCAACATGGAGGACGTGTCGGAGAGAGAAGCTGCAGCAGAGTTGGAGAAGAAGGAGAAAGCTGCGGTGAGTTTATTTTCTGTATATTATCGCACTTTGCAATTTGTCAGATTTCAATTCATAGCAGAATACAATAGAACTTCAGACGACATGTGAAAAGTAGTACCTTTATTACTCGTGTCTATGGTTTGGTACAAGGTCTTACATGTGTTAGACCTTATTTCTCCCTTAAAGTTGATTAAAAAAGAAGAGATGAGACTCAGAGATGATACAAACTGCTTGGTGTAATATTTGCCACATTAGACTGTTGGCACACTCATGTTATAACCAGTTCTAACCCAGTCCGTGTCTCTGGGCCAAGTCTACGGACAGGAGTATGATTTGGTATTTACTTTTGTGACTAACATTGACATTCTTTCTTGTTGCGGCTCAGGTTGAGGATGAAAGCGACGGCAAAGGGGCAGTCAGACCCGGCTCCATTGCTGATCTCATAAGAGCTGAAAAAGCTGTCTTGACACCAGTGATACCGAAAAAGAAGAAATCCTGGAAAAGTTACCAGACGCTTGCACTTACACTGGTTAACTGAATATGACGGACTCAAGACCTGCCTCCGGACAAAGACAATCAAGAGCATTTAGCATTTTACTTTGGACTAGAGCAGAGAAAGTGGTCCAAACCAAGCAGCTACTCCACCTTGCGACCCGTCGTGCTCCACCCAGAGACTGCACCACCTCAGCTGCTGTGACCTGAAGGGCTGTTGCTGATTATTACTATTGTTAGATTTTTAGAATGATCCATTTTATTTTTATTTTTGCTGCTACTGGACACCTGAATTTCTCCTACGGGAATCCATTAAGTATCTAGAGGTCTCTTCTAGTATCTATGTAAGAGACCTCTGGATATTTGATGCAGAACTACTACAGACCAAGCAAAACCCAGATTCAGATTCAGATTCATTTTATTGGCCATGTGCAGTAAAACTACATTGGAAATACATGCAAAAAGAGGTACTCTGTGTGCACCGACAGAATAAAAAGCACGATACAATGTAATATAAATACACATACACTGAATATAAAATAATAAATAATAAAAAAACAGCTGACACTGTGGCACCGATCGACAAAACAATACAAGGGGTAAAAGCAGTTTAAAAGCAGGTAAAAGCAGGAATTAAAATGCTCTGTTTAGGCACCTAACAGCCTGTGGAAAGAAGCTGTTAGCATAGCGAGATGTCTTGCATCTCAGTGACCGGTATCTTCTGCCAGAGGGAAGAAGCTGGAACATGGCTTTCCCAGGGTGGCCAGAAGAGTCACCGATGATTTTAAGAGCTTTGTTTAAAAGTCTGGATTTGTAAAGAACCTCTAGAACAGGAAGCTCACAGCCCACGGTCCTCTTTGCAGAGCGGAGCACCTTGTTTAAAGCTCTCTTTTCTTTATCTGTGATGTTTCCAAACCACACAGACACAGAACCAACAAGTAAACTTTCAATGGTGCAGCGATAAAAGTTCAGCAGAATCTTAGAGTTAGTGGTAAATTCTCTAAGTTTCCGCAGGAAGTAAAGACGCTGACGGGCTTTCTTTACGACCCGGTCAGTGTTTTTAGCCCATTTCAGGTCGTTAGACAGAGTTAAGCCCAGGAACTTGCACTCCTCTACGATCTGCACCTGGGAGTTGTCAATAACAACAGGAGTGTGAGAACTGCTATGACTGAAGTCAAAGACAAGTTCACATGTTTTTGCAGTGTTCAGCTGGAGATTGTTTACTTTACTCCACTGAAAAACATGTTCGATCTCTGCTCTATAAGAGGAATCATCATTGTCACTGATGAGACCGATGATGGTGGTGTCATCAGCATATTTGATGATCAGATTTGAGTCAGAGGAGGACACACAATCGTGAGTGTACAAAGTAAAAAGCAGGGGACTCAAAATACATCCCTGAGGAGAACCAGTGCTCACAGAAACAACATCAGAAAAACAGTCATTGATTTTGACTCTCTGAGATCTGTCAGTTAAAAAGCTAAAAATCCATTTACACATGGCAACATTCAGACCAAGGGACATTAGTTTTTCAACCAATATGCTTGGGACAAGACAATTAAAAGCAGAGCTATAATCAATGAACAGCATTCTCGCGACAGATTTACTAGTGTCCAAATGAGTGTAGACAGAGTTCAGAGCAAAGGAGATGGCATCCTCCACACTCCTGTTCTGTCTGTAAGCAAACTGGAGCGGGTCAACACTCACAGGGATCTGGCTCTTAATAAACTCCAGCACGAGCCGCTCAAAAGTCTTCATAAGAACAGACGTGAGAGCCACAGGGCGGTAGTCATTGAGACATGTCACTGGAGACTTCTTAGGAACTGGAATAATGGTGGACCTTTTAAAGCTCACCGGCACCGTACAGCTCCTGAGTGACAAGTTAAAAATGTCCGTTAAAACAGGGGCAAGTTGCTCGGAGCACAGTTTCAGGACGCGGGGAGGAATGCAGTCCGGGCCTGCGGCTTTCCGAGCTGTGGTCCTGGACAAGACCCGCCGTACTTCATCCTGAGTCACTGTGAAGGCACCCTGACATTCGGGGAAGACAAAAGGCAGGGGATCAGCAGATTCAAAGCGGCAGTAAAAGTCGTTGAGCTCGTTTGGCAGAGTTTGGCCAGCAGCAATTTTCCCTGCACTTGGTTTCCAGGACGTGATAAGACTGATCCCCTTCCACATGCGTCGGGGGTCCTCTTCCCCAAAGAAGCCCTCTAACCTGTCCCCATAGGAACGCTTAGCAGCTTTTATAGAGCGTTCCACAGCGTAGCAGGACAGCTTGTAAGCGCCCTCGTCACCGGATTGAAACGCCAGTGTCCGCTCATTGATTCTAAGTTTGACATCAGTGTTCATCCAAGGTTTTTGGCCGGAGTGTTCTTTGATAATTTTATAGGGGACACAACAATCAATGCAAAATTGTATGTATCCTGTCACAGCCTCACAGAATTCATCAACATTCTCAGAGTTAAAAACAGACCAGTCTGTGGCATCAAAGCAGCCCTGCAGCTTCATGTTAGCCTCCTCAGACCAGCACTGCACAGTGCGGGAAGTAGGTTTGTGCTGTTTGTTCCTCTGTGTATAAGAAGGCAGAAGGAGAACAGCAGAGTGATCAGACTTCCCAAAAGCAGGTCTGAGACTGGACCTGTAAGCCGCCTTCACGTTACTATAGCAGTGATCCAGGATGTGAGCTCCCCTGGTAGGCTGACTCACATGCTGATAAAAGTTCGGTAATACAGACTTTAAGTTACATTTGTTAAAATCACCACCAACTATAATCACAGCATTGGGGTGAGCAGCTTCATGTTTATGCAAAATGTCACTTAAGTCATTCAGTGCAGCTGTACAGTCAGCCCGAGGATGAATATATACAGCACATAAGAAAATCACTGAGAATTCTCGGGGAAGATAGAACGGGCGGCATCTCAAAACCAGACACTCCAGGTTAGCAGAGCATGTTTTGTTTATAATAAAACTGTCAGTGCACCAGCGCTGGTTAATTAAAAAACACACACCTCCACCTTTCGATTTTCCTGTGCTCTCCTTCTCTCTGTCCGAGCGGAAAATGGCGAATCCCGGCGGCTGAACAGCTGAGTCCGGGATATTGGGATGTAGCCATGTCTCGCTGAGGCAGTACACTGCGCAGTCCCGAGCCTCGCGCTGGTACTGGATACGGCTCGGCAGATCATCCGACTTGTTTGGGAGAGACTGAACGTTTGCAAGGTAAATGGGTGGCAGTGGGACCCTGGGAGTGCGACTCCGCACGAGAAGCCCGCCTCGCTTTCCCCGGTGTCTGCGCTTCCTCCGTCGGCGAGAGACACCCGGCTCCGTACGGTGGTGAACACGGGGGAGGCGCCCGGCCTCATCGCCCTGTTCCCCGTCTGTCGCGGTCCGCACGCCGCTCTCCTCGGGCTGGGCACTCGTCAAAGCCCTCACACCTAAGAGCAGGCGACACTGACTCACAAGCCAAGTCCCGTAAGTCCAGGAGAGTCTGTCGATCATATACCACAGTGGCAAGTGTTTTGTGAAAGGATAAAAACAGTGAAAGGATAAAAACAATCACGGTGCACAACGGAGCTCTTGCAGCGGCGCCCTGGCACGGCGCCATCTTGATCGCATCGCAAACCCGACGCAGCGGAGTCCAAGGAAAGACCCACAGAGCAGCCTCAGCCGGAACCCAAAAGCCAGAGTCAAGAACTAACCTTTTGATTGGTTAAGAGGAGGCTTCGAGCTTCAAAGACCTGTCTCCACAAACACTGGAGAAAGAGAATCGGCTGTTGGAGTTTGACGGACCGTAAAGATGATGTAACGTATCATCAAAGAAAATCATATCGGTCAGTCATGCAGAGGAACAGAGACGTCTCTCATCGTTACAGTTTGAATTAATAGTTTGAAGAAATATGGCTGGGAAGGAGTCAAGATGTTAACGAAGAAGAGAACATGCAAAGGAACCAAACTCAAACTCTACAAAAGTATCAAGTTTATAATGGATCTTTGAGTTCTCTCCTAAAAAACATTGGCAGTTACATAAACTTTAGGAGAGTGGTATTGAAAGGATCCGTCCACGAGTCTTTTCTCTCAGATGTTTTGTCTTGCCATACTTTGTAAAACTTGATCAGTCTATTGTTAAGAATGTGAAGAACCAACGTTAGCCAAAGGCATGACCTTATATCAATAGAGTTGTAACAAAAAGATGTGAAAAGTTACTGAGACACACAAGTTTAAGTCAATGATTAAAGGTTTTTTAGTATTTTTTTCTTTGTGACCAGAGGCAGCAGAAGATTGACAGTATCTGTTCGGCAACGGATGAAGCGGAAGAAAACGGACGGACGGAAAGTAATCTGTATGAAATCAGTGTAAGTGAGTTGTATGCTGTGGGATGCAAGGTGTTGTATATGAAAGTCAGTAGGACAACCGTTGTGGTGCGTGTAAATGAAAAGACAAACTGGCGTGGTGTGGTGGCTGGTCTGACCGGACCCAGAATGGTGGCGACAGTCCGGTCACGCCGGCAGGTGCCCAGAAGCGAGGTGAGAGAGAGTGAGAGTGAGGGGAAGGCCCTTTTTGAAGCATCCGGGAGGTCACACGCGACTTCCCAGCTGCCTCTCATCATCTCTGCAGAATATCGTACAAACACTGCCACCACAGGCCCAGCAGAGGGGGACGTCACAGGAGTATATAGAGCTTTGTCCCTCTCTGGTCTCTCTCTCTGATCTTTCTCTGGTCTCTCTCTCTGATCTTTCTCTGGTCTCTCTTTCTGGTCTCTCTCTGATCTTTCTCTGGTCTCTTTCTCTGGTCTCTCTCTCTGGTCTCTCTCTCTGATCTTTCTCTGGTCTCTCTCTGGTCTCTCTCTCTCTGGTCCCTCTCTCTGGTCTCTCTCTCTGGTCTCTCTCTCTGATCATTCTCTGGTCTCTCTCTGGTCTCTCACCTTTACCTTTAACCCCATTCTGTATTTTACATTGAAAAACATCAAAATGTTGGTTCAGTTTTGTAATGACATCGCTACATGTTTTACAAGTGTGACAATTTCCTGCGAATGTAAATAAAATGCACCATCTTTGACCCGTTCTGTGGTGTGTGGTTGTTTCAGTTCTGCTCCACAAGCTCCTACATCCAGGACACATTCTATACAGCGACTTGGCTTCACACAAACACCCCCTGAATTTAAGAATTTGTCCCACAACGAGGACATTTCAGTTTGATGCATACACATACATAATATACGTATACACATCAAGGCAAGCAGCGAACATCACTTCCCCGCTCCTTGTAGGCAAAGTGGGTTAAGTGTCTTGCCCAAGGACACGACAGCAAACAGCAGGTTATATTTCATAATTTTCTTCTATGTATTTCTGTTGATGATTGTATCCAGACCTTTAGTATTTTTCACAGTATATTCTCAATAAAACACTGACGTCTAAAAGGTTAAAAAGTGGTTTGAATATAAAACAATATAAATGTAAATGTTTAAACTCAGACTTGAGAAGAACCTGTTTCTTATCGTCCTCTTCAGTCATCAGCAGAACTGTGTCTGTGACTTTCACCTCAGTTTCTGGTGTTTTATCACGTGATGTCTCTTTTGCAGCAGCACAAAGCTTTATTCTGGTCTGAAGCAGGACAACCCAGAGAGTCCACAGATCAGCGAGGAGCCAGAGGAACATGGCATCAAACTGGAGGAAGATCTGCTGCAAATGTGAGTCTGTGTCTGTGCTGAAACTGCAGCATGTTTAAAACAATGAGCTGAGCCCAGATCTGTTGTGTGGATGCAGAACTGTGGGAGTGAAGGCAGAAGAACACAGTCTGCTCCAGGAAATCCCACAAAGTCCACAGACTAAAGAGGAGCCAGAGGAAGTGAGGATCAAACACGAGGAGGAGCCGCTGTGAGTCTCTGTCATCATTCTACATATTTACTGATGATTGTCATCAGGTTCACATCAGTGACCAGTTTGTGTTTGTTCCAGTCCTGTGTGTGTGAAGACAGAAGAGTGGTCACTGCCTCAAAGACAAAGTGAGCACAGAGAGGAGACACAGGGAGAAGACATCAGCCCAGAGTCTGAGGGAGACACAGAGCACTCCTCTGACCACGACCAGGATGAAGACCTTCATCTTCAGCCTGTGTCCTCAGAGACAGATGATGATGGAGACGACCACCACAGAGTCCAGAGCAGAGCCACAGATGGGCCTCACACAGGAGACAAACCCTTCAGCTGCTCCGTCTGTGACAAAGCTTTTTCATCAAAGAGATATTTGAAAGAACATATGAGGACACACACAGGAGACAAACCCTTCAGCTGTTCGGTGTGTAACAAAGCATTTCCAAAGAGGTGTAAACTGACTATTCACATGAGAGGACACACTGGTGAGAAACCATTCAGCTGTTCAGTCTGTGACAAAGCATTTTCCCAAAGGCATATGCTTACTGAACACACGAGGACACACACAGGAGATAAACCTTACAGCTGTTCTGTTTGTAAGAAAGCATTTCCCCATAGAGGTACTCTAAATGTACACATGAGGATACACACAGGAGACAAGCCTTACAGCTGCTCTTTCTGTAATAAAGCATTTTCCCAAAGGGGTCCCCTCAATGTTCATCTGAGGACACATACAGGAGACAGACCCTTCAGCTGTTCAGTCTGTGAAAATGCATTTACCAAACAAGGTGCGCTTGCTGAACACATGATGACTCACACAGGAATCAAACCTTTCCGCTGTTCAACATGTGACAAAACATTTCCAACAAAGTCTAAGCTCAGTGTACATATGAGGACTCACACAGGTGACAAACCTTACAGCTGTCATGTATGTAACAAATCCTTTTCCCAAAGCGGTACTTTAAATGTTCATGTGAAGTCCCACAGCAGAGAGAAATCTCACAACTGTTCTATTTGTACCAGTGTGTTTTCAAATCAGCGTCATCTTACGTATGAAGACACACAAAGTAGACGAACCCTACAGCTGTTTCATTTGTAGTGAAGCATTTTCTCAACGCATGCAACTTACTACACATGTGCGGACACACAAAGGAGACAAACATTACAGCTGTTCGTCATGTGACAAAACATTTTCCCTTTAGCCTTTAGCCACAGGAGTCATCTTAATGTTCACATCAAGAAGCACACAGGCAAAAAACCATTCAGCTGTTCAGTCTGTAACAAGGCCTTTTCTCTGCAGGGCACTCTCAACGATCACATTAGGACTCACACAGGAGACAAGCCTTACAGATGCTCAGTCTGTGACAAAGCATTTTCTAAAAACAGTATTCTCACTGAACACATGAAGACACATACAGGAGATAAACCTTACAGCTGTTTAATCTGTTGTAAAGCCTTTTCCCAGCGCACACAACTAGCTGTACATGTGAGGACACACAGGGGACAAACCTTACAGCTGTTCAATCTGCAATAAAGCATTTTATGAAGGCATGCAACTGACAGTACATCTGAGGATACACACAGGAGACAGACCCTTCTGCTGCTCAGTCTGTGACAAGGCATTTTCCCAAAAGGGTGCTCTCACTGAACACATGATGATACACACTGGGGACAAACCTTACAGCTGGTCTACATGTAAAAAACATTTTCTACCAGATATAAACTCTCTTTACATATGAGGACTCACACAGGCGATAAACCATTCAGCTGTTCAGTCTGTGACAAAGCATTTTTCCAAAGGAATACTCTTAATGAGCACATGAGGACTCACACAGGAGACAACCCTTACAGCTGTCCTTTCTGTGACAAAACATTTCCACAAAGGGGTCCCCTTAATGTACATATGAGGACACACACAGGTGAAAAACCCTTCGGTTGTTCAGTCTGTGGCAAAGCCTTTCCACATAAGAGCCGTCTCAATGTACACATGAAGACACACAGGGAGAAAGCTGACGCACAATCTGAACCGTCTGAGACACAAGACGACACACAGGACAACACACAGGGTGACACACAGGGCGATACACACACACTAAAAAACATTTAACAAACCATTTCCCCAAAGGCCCTGCAGGTTGAAGCCTGTGATCTGAGATAAAACACCAGCGGTGGGTTATGGTCATTTTGAGTTGTCCTAAGAACACATGCTTAAGACCAAAGAGAACCATCAACTCCATGAGCTGTGGACAAACCCTGTGTTTTTTTTTTTGTTCTCTGCCGTGTGTGTGACTAGTTTTGTTGCTTCATAAAATAAAATAGTAAATATTGATATTACGTAGATCATGTCCATTGTATTTATTATATTATTATACGGCTCCTCACAGCAGCAGGAGAACGCTCCATTGATTTGAATGTAATTTCAAAACGTTCTACCGGTCATTATTTTCTATAAAGGACCTCTCAAAACAATAATGACCGCTGCCCTTTGGCAACGCACTCTCTGCTTGTATTTCAGATGCGTGGATAATTCCGCAAGTAGTTCCGGCCACTCCGGAGCTAGCTCAATAAACGCAAATGCAAATCAATCAATGCAATGAAATGTTAATCGGAGAGTACATTATACATATACATTATTAATACAAGTGCACGGAAGTTTTCAGAATTTTCCGTTTATGTTTTCATGACAAAAACACTGATGTAATACGAGAAAAGGCGATCCCGAAAAACCCGGAAGTAGATACCGGCACATTTTCGGACACATTTGCAGAGGATCGAATTATGGATTTAGGTTAAGTTTATGTTTGGGTCACTCACCGCTGATGTTCAGGATTCTGTGTTCGGTTTTCATGCAGTTCCAGAGAGTTCTAGTTTGGAAGTTGCCAGCCTAAGTGTTGCTAGCATAGCCACGGGAACTATTTTATTTTCTGTCATTAAATAAACCTTTGGGCATTCCTAAAAGTGGACTGAAGTTTATGTTGTGTGTTCTGTTGGTATAAAGCCGTAAAATAAGCGGGATAACGTATATTACGCATTTTCCGATAATGACCTGCGTAATATACATTATCCCTTACATAATAACTGCAGTTGAAACTGTTGTGTAGAAAAGGTCATGTGACATGTATGTGTCATGTGATTGTTATAGACTCATGTGTGTCATGTGACTGTTACAGACTCATGTGTGTGTCATGTGACTGTTACAGACTCATGTATGTGTCATGTGACTGTTACAGACTCATGTGTGTGTCATGTGACTGTTACAGACTCGTGTGTGTGTCATGTGACTGTTACAGACTCGTGTGTGTCATGTGACTGTTACAGACTCGTGTGTGTCATGTTATAGACTCATGTATGTGTAATGTGAGTGTTATAGACTTATGTGTGTCATGTGACTGTTATAGAGTCATGTGTGTGTCATGTGACTGTTATAGACTCATGTGTCATGTGACTGTTACAGAATCATGTGTGTGTCATGTGACTGTTACAGACTCATGTATGTGTCATGTGACTGTTACAGACTCATGTGTGTGTCATGTGACTGTTACAGACTTGTGTGTGTGTCATGTGACTGTTACACACTCGTGTGTGTCATGTGACTGTTATAGACTCATGTATGTGTCATGTGACTGTTATAGACTCATGTATGTGTCATGTGACTGTTATAGACTCATGTGTGTGTCATGTGACTGTTACAGACTCATGTGTGTCATGTGACTGTTATAGACTCATGTGTGTGTCATGTGACTGTTATAGACTCATATGTGTCATGTGACTGTTATAGACTTATATGTGTGTCATGTGACTGTTATAGACTCATATGTGTCTTGTGACTGTCATAGACTCATGTGTGTGTCATGTGACTGTTATAGACTCATATGTGTCATGTGACTGTTATAGACTCATATGTGTCATGTGACTGTTATAGACTCATGTGTGTGTCATGTGACTGTTATAGACTTATATGTGTGTCATGTGACTGTTATAGACTCATATGTGTGTCATGTGACTGTTATAGACTCATATGTGTGTCATGTGACTGTTATAGACTCATATGTGTGTCATGTGACTGTTATAGACTCATATGTGTCATGTGACTGTTATAGACTCATGTGTGTGTCATGTGACTGTTACAGACTCATATGTGTCATGTGACTGTTATAGACTTATACGTGTGTCATGTGACTGTTATAGACTCATATGTGTCATGTGACTGTTATAGACTCATGTGTGTGTCATGTGACTGTTATAGACTCATGTGTGTGTCATGTGACTGTTATAGACTCATATGTGTCATGTGACTGTTATAAACTCATATGTGTCATGTGACTGTTATAGACTCATGTGTGTGTCATGTGACTGTTACAGACTCATTTATGTGTCATGTGACTGTTATAGACTCATATGTGTCATGTGACTGTTATAGACTCATATGTGTCATGTGACTGTTATAGACTCATATGTTTCATGTGACTGTTATAGACTCATGTGTGTGTCATGTGACTGTTACAGACTCATGTATGTGTCATGTGACTGTTATAGACTCGTGTGTGTCATGTGACTGTTATAGACTCATATGTGTCATGTGACTGTTATAGACTCATGTGTGTGTCATGTGACTGTTATAGACTCATGTGTGTGTCATGTGACTGTTATAGACTCGTGTGTGTCATGTGACTGTTATAGACTCATATGTGTCATGTGACTGTTATAGACTCATGTGTGTGTCATGTGACTGTTATAGACTCATGTGTGTGTCATGTGACTGTTACAGACTCATGTATGTGTCATGTGACTGTTATGTGTCATGTGACTGTTATAGACTCATGTGTGTCATGTGACTGTTATAGACTCATATGTGTCATGTGACTGTTATAGACTCATGTGTGTGTCATGTGACTGTTACAGACTCATGTATGTGTCATGTGACTGTTATAGACTCGTGTGTGTCATGTGACTGTTATAGACTCATATGTGTCATGTGACTGTTATAGACTCATGTGTGTGTCATGTGACTGTTATAGACTCGTGTGTGTCATGTGACTGTTATAGACTCGTGTGTGTCATGTGACTGTTATAGACTCATATGTGTCATGTGACTGTTATAGACTCATGTGTGTGTCATGTGACTGTTATAGACTCATGTGTGTGTCATGTGACTGTTACAGACTCATGTATGTGTCATGTGACTGTTATGTGTCATGTGACTGTTATAGACTCATGTGTGTCATGTAACTGTTACAGACACATGTGTGTCATGTGACTGTTATAGACTCAAGTGTGTGTCATGTGACTGTTACAGACTCGTGTGTGTCATGTGACTGTTACAGACTCATGTGTGTGTCATGTGACTGTTATAGACTCATGTGTGTGTCATGTGACTGTTATAGACTCATATGTGTCATGTGACTGTTATAGACTCATGTGTGTCATGTGACTGTTATGGACTCATGTGTGTGTCATGTGACTGTTATAGACTCATATGTGTCATGTGACTGTTATAGACTCATATGTGTGTCATGTGACTGTTATAGACTCATATGTGTGTCATGTGACTGTTATAGACTCATATGTGTGTCATGTGACTGTTATAGACTCATATGTGTCATGTGACTGTTATAGACTCATGTGTGTGTCATGTGACTGTTACAGACTCATTTATGTGTCATGTCACTGTTATAGACTCATGTGTGTGTCATGTGACTGTTATAGACTTATATGTGTGTCATGTGACTGTTATAGACTCATATGTGTCATGTGACTGTTATAGACTCATGTGTGTGTCATGTGACTGTTAGAGAATCATGTGTGTGTCATGTGGCTGTTATAGACTCATATGTGTCATGTGACTGTTATAGACTCATATGTGTCATGTGACTGTTATAGACTCATGTGTGTGTCATGTGACTGTTACAGACTCATGTGTGTGTCATGTAGAGCCCTGCACTTGAGCCCTTGGCCCGAGGGCCCCGACGGCCCGACAGCCCGAGGGCCGGGCTTCGGGCCGATGACCGCATAATGACCTCGGACACGGGCCGGGCTCGGGCTCTTCATTTTCAGAGCGGCAGAATAGATTTACGAACGCACCCACTGAATATAGCGTTCTATCACGCTGTAGTGTTTGTTGTTCTGTGTAGTGTTGTCATTGACGGCACATAGCATTACTTATGTAATGTGCAGATGTGTTGCAGCATCGGGGGCATCATACAGATGCGGCCGTTCACTCTGCACCACTCCGCACACACAGAACTCATTGCAACACATCACTACCATGTATAACTCCGCCCTCTAGCTAAGTCTGCGTTCATATCAGTGCGCGGTACTATATACTACGCTAAAACATTGTTATGGGAGGTTACAAAAAAAAAAAAAAAGGCGGGCTTGATGCGGGTTTCGGGCCTGAAAATTCAGAAACCATATCGGGCCGGGCCGGGCTGGGGCGCCACCCCCTCGGGCCAGGGCCGGGCTCGGGCCCAGATAATAGGCCCGTGCAGGGCTCTAGTGTCATGTGACTGTTATAGACTCATATGTGTCATGTGACTGTTATAGACTCATATGTGTCATGTGACTGTTACAGACTCATGTGTGTCATGTGACTGTTATGGACTCATGTGTGTGTCATGTGACTGTTATAGACTCATATGTGTCATGTGACTGTTATAGACTCATATGTGTGTCATGTGACTGTTACAGACTCATGTGTGTGTCATGTGATTGTTATAGACTCATGTGTGTGTCATGTGACTGTTATAGACTCATATGTGTCATGTGACTGTTATAGACTCATGTGTGTCATGTGACTGTTATAGACTTATATGTGTGTCATGTGACTGTTATAGACTCATATGTGCCATGTGACTGTTATAGACTCATATGTGTGTCATGTGACTGTTATAGACTCATATGTGTCATGTGACTGTTATAGACTTATATGTGTGTCATGTGACTGTTATAGACTCATATGTGCCATGTGACTGTTATAGACTCATATGTGTGTCATGTGACTGTTATAGACTCATATGTGTGTCATGTGACTGTTATAGACTCATATGTGTGTCATGTGACTGTTATAGACTCATATGTGTCATGTGACTGTTACAGACTCATTTATGTGTCATGTCACTGTTATAGACGCATGTGTGTGTCATGTGACTGTTATAGACTCATATGTGTCATGTGACTGTTATAGACTTATATGTGTGTCATGTGACTGTTATAGACTCATATGTGTCATGTGACTGTTATAGACTCATGTGTGTGTCATGTGACTGTTAGAGAATCATGTGTGTGTCATGTGGCTGTTATAGACTCATATGTGTCATGTGACTGTTATAGACTCATATGTGTCATGTGACTGTTATAGACTCATGTGTGTGTCATGTGACTGTTACAGACTCATTTATGTGTCATGTCACTGTTATAGACTCATGTGTGTGTCATGTGACTGTTATAGACTCATATGTGTCATGTGACTGTTATAGACTTATATGTGTGTCATGTGACTGTTATAGACTCATATGTGTCATGTGACTGTTATAGACTCGTGTGTCATAATCATGTGTGTGTCATGTGGCTGTTATAGACTCATATGTGTCATGTGACTGTTATAGACTCATATGTGTCATGTGACTGTTATAGACTCATGTGTGTGTCATGTGACTGTTACAGACTCATGTTTGTGTCATGTGACTGTTATAGACTCATATGTGTCATGTGACTGTTATAGACTCATATGTGTCATGTGACTGTTACAGACTCATGTGTGTCATGTGACTGTTATGGACTCATGTGTGTGTCATGTGACTGTTATAGACTCATATGTGTCATGTGACTGTTATAGACTTATATGTGTGTCATGTGACTGTTATAGACTCATATGTGTCATGTGACTGTTATAAACTCATATGTGTCATGTGACTGTTATAGACTCATGTGTGTGTCATGTGACTGTTACAGACTCATTTATGTGTCATGTGACTGTTATAGACTCATGTGTGTGTCATGTGACTGTTATAGACTCATATGTGTCATGTGACTGTTATAGACTTATATGTGTGTCATGTGACTGTTATAGACTCATATGTGTCATGTGACTGTTATAGACTCATGTGTGTGTCATGTGACTGTTATAGACTCTTGTGTGTGTCATGTGACTGTTATAGACTCATATGTGTCATGTGACTGTTATAGACTTATATGTGTGTCATGTGACTGTTATAGACTCATATGTGTCATGTGACTGTTATAAACTCATATGTGTCATGTGACTGTTATAGACTCATGTGTGTGTCATGTGACTGTTACAGACTCATTTATGTGTCATGTGACTGTTATAGACTCATGTGTGTGTCATGTGACTGTTATAGACTCATATGTGTCATGTGACTGTTATAGACTTATATGTGTGTCATGTGACTGTTATAGACTCATATGTGTCATGTGACTGTTATAGACTCATGTGTGTGTCATGTGACTGTTATAGACTCTTGTGTGTGTCATGTGACTGTTATAGACTCATATGTGTCATGTGACTGTTATAGACTCATATGTGTCATGTGACTGTTATAGACTCATGTGTGTGTCATATGACTGTTATAGACTCATATGTGTCATGTGACTGTTATAGACTCATATGTGTCATGTGACTGTTATAGACTTATGAGTCTATAACAGTCACATGACACATATGAGTTTATAACAGTCACATGACACACACATGAGTCTATAACAGTCACATGACACATATGAGTCTATAACAGTCACATGACACACATATATGTGTCATGTGACTGTTATAGACTCATGTGTGTGTCATGTGACTGTTACAGACTCATGTGTGTGTCATGTGACTGTTATAGACTCA